GTTGCTCTCAAGTTACTTGCCTCTGCTGAGAAGCAGCGATACGAGATCCTGGGAAAACTGAAAGAAATAGCGTCGAGACTGAGAGATAGAATCGTCGTTCAAGCAAGCCGAGCTGTATTTGAAGAGATGTGAGGACCGCTATGTGATGACCACAGAAGGGACAATTTTTGTGTCGTGTGTTACAGAGCGAATGGCGTCGTGGTACATTACGAGTCGGGGCTGGAGAAGATTCTCAACGGATGCATGTTGGCATGTGCGAAGTCCAGCGAGAAGTATGCTTCGCTGATTCATTGAAGTTCCACTCGTGAAACACGAATGTGAAGTGTGAAATGTGTTTTCACTGGTGTTTTCCGTATTGCGGGTGAAACTCCATTGTATTCGCTTTTTGCAAGAACTACTACGCGGAGATATGAATACTTGAGACTGGCAGCAACAACTAGGCAAAGAATTCAGTCCTTTAGCCTCGACACTTGAGATGGTCGGAAAAAATTTCCGGCTTCAGGATTTGCTGATTCTGATGCATTTCGAGTCCTTTTTGAACGTGGTTGTGCTGTCTCTAGGCATAAGACTCATGTCGAAGCACTAGAGAGCATCGCTAAGCTTGAGCAACCTGATGTTGAGTCGGAACTTCGGCTTGTATCATTGAAAAGGCGTGAAGAAGGTCGTCATAGGAAGTGCATGCAGGTATACTCAGTATAGACATAAGCAGTGTCTTGTCGAAAGATGATAGTGTAAAGTGGTCCTTATTTCTCATTTCAAGGGAAATTGCAAAAGTTTGATTTCGAAACCTGATAAGTACTCTTCCTTTGAAGATAGTCTTGATGATAGTGCAATGAAGCTCTGTGTGATTGATTCGTCCCTCTCCCCACAATGCATGAGTCACAGTCTTGCCGACTCAGTGGCACCGAGATCTACTTATAGTTGGAGTCCACCTAGGCATATACTACTAGGTTTCGAGAGACTTTCCGGTTGGCTAGTCGCCTGGTGATAAGCTCCAGTTGATAGCATCGTGAATGACACTCAGTGTTGATATGAGAACACTTAGTTGTGGATTGTATGCATCCGCTATCGGGCCCTGATCGTGAGGGGTGAGGTTGTTATTTCAGGTATTCAATACTGCTCGACTGGAGGCTTTTCAAGTACTGGTTCATCAAGGCGTTGTCACCTGTGATGCCTTCGACTCGACATTTGAATGCATTATAAAGCATCTGGACGCCGTACCATGGGAAGAGCTCTTCTGCAGTATCCCTGGTAACTCCCTCGTATCACTGTGTGCATATATTCGTTGTGTAGGAGCTGCCGAGCCTGTCACTAAACGTGTATCGCTCAAGAGACTACTACGCCGATATCACTCTGGTGACACTGGAACGATTGATCAGTCTGGAGAGTGAACTATCGTGGAGCTATGCTCTTGTGCTTTGCCATTAGCAGGTCGCTATTATCGAAAGTGTGGGAGGGGGTAGACCGAACTGAATTGATGCCAAGCGTGAATACATGGTCTTCTCACACAGAAAGTTGTCAAGCAGATGGTAAGCTGTGTCGCGTCTTTGCTAAGTCCTAGCTAGTCGCTTCTTTGGTAGGCTCTGATGACTTTACTATACCTGATCTCGTCCAACAGACAGTTGACTCGTAGGGCTTGGAAGAGCGACTTCGTGTATGCTTGATTTAGATTTCGGACGTCAACACACAAAACAATCTTCCGCTGTCGCAACGAGGCGTTTGACAAGGTCAAGGCTACGATGTCAATTCTTGCCACAAAGGCCATTGATCGAATAAAGGCACTTGAAGTGAGGAACACATCAATAACGACCTGATGCTGCTGATCTAGGAGGATGAGAGCGTCCGCTTCCATGAATGGGCAAGACTTCTCCTTCATCTGGGCTTAGAAGACGTCGATCCAGCTGATGAGGAAACCGTTGAGAAGATGAAGTGATGTGCATGTTCGAAAGATGTTGCTTCAAACAGAAAGAGTAGCCGTCAGTTATTGTGTTCAGCAGAAGTTATTCGGAGAGCAGATAATTGTTAACAACACTTGCACAGATAGGCTTAGCGGGGAGGCTGTGCTCAGCCTCTGGGCGTCAAATCACTTACGGCCGACGCATAAGGCAAATGGAGCTCCCTTGGCTCGAGGCTGCTCCTGGCGATTAGCTTCCTACCGTGGCAATGCCTCGACGAAGATCGGGAGTAGA